GTGCTTGGCGTGGACAACCGCGCTGGCGCATTCTGAGTGGCAGATGGTCCTCATCTTCCTGTACCATGTCAATGCGACCAATAATATGTGCGCCGTCACAGTGTCAATATTGTGGTCGGGATGGCCACGTAGTCAATGCGTTCCTTCGCGTTGCCTTTCTTGTGAGAGCACGCGAGCCCTCCGCGCCGCATTGCAGCGTTGACCGCAGCCATGATGGGACGAAACAAAAAAACATGGACATGCACGCCAACCACACTTCCCTCGGGTCTCTCACCGAAGCCCCGTATTAAGTCGGCAACATCTTCCCAAGTTGTGGCGCTCGCGTTATTCATGATGAGGTCGATGCTGAACGTGTTGGTCATGTTGGTAAGCTATGTCCCAAATTGGTTGGTCCTCTCACCCCCTAAATGTCTGCGGGCAGCGCGCGCGTCTGCCGCCGCCCTCCGTCGACCTGGCGCGCTGATGCGCACGAACCTGAAAACGCGCGTCGCCGCGCGATGCGCGCTCTGAATTTGACGCAGAATCATCTCGACCATGAGAAGACTATAACGACTAACTCTGCATTCCGTTTTTCTCCGCGCTGGGCAGGGCGCGCACTGCAAGTGGCGAAAACCCTGGCATGTTGATGTGGCCCCTGTTTGAGATTGCGCGATACCCACGCACTATGGTCACTCATCTCGGCAGCCTGGTCTCCTGCGCGCCAAAGACGTGGATGCTCGCGCGCTTCATTAAGCCGGTGGCTGAAGATCTCCACTGCCGTTAATTTCCTGCGTGGGTCGGCTCTTCGCAACTGCGGTCGATGAAAGTCGCGGCGTTGGAGCCCGCGCCGGCCCCCTTGCTGGCGCGCTCCTGCCACGGTTTGAGGCGCCCGGGTGTAGCCGTAAATGCTGGCGTTCCACCGCTCGGGCCGCGGTCGGCGAAGTCGGCGCGCGCCCTTCGGGCGTCGTCGTCTGCTAGCTGCAACAACTTCCATTCCCCGCGGTGCTCGGCGTCAAACAGGTCGGCCCATTCTGGGCGCGGGCACGCCTTGCGTCACAGGCTCTGCCTCCTTGCCAAGGAGTCAGCCAATTTGTTTCGAGTGTGCCCCGTGCGAGCGCAGACGTAGTCTGGGCGCAGATGGGCGGAGGTGGAGGCTAGCTCATAGAATTGGTTCTTCGCGCGCGCGGCGCCGCCTTCGCCCGCGATGGCGACCGCCACGGCCCATGCATCTGTGGCAGAGTCGTCCTGGCGGGCGCCGTCGGCGCACGTGCGCATCCACTTGGTCGCGCCGCGTGTTCGCGGAGGGGCAGTCCCCGGCGCCGCGACGGCCGCTGGGCGCAACCTGTTCGGCTCGAGAAAGTCAACAGACTAGGTTGCGAAACGGGGCGGGGAGATGCGCCCGAATGCGTCGACGATCGACGCTGTCGCTTTGAAGGTGGATCGAACCGCTAATCTCGCCGGGCGCCCCTCTGCGCCCCCCCCCCCCCCCCCCCCCCCCCCCCCCCCCCAACGCCTGGCAACTGCGCGCAAAACAGGGCCCCGTGTCGGTTGACCTCCGTCGCCGGGGGTCGCGGTGGGCGTGGCCCCCGCGGCTGGTCCTTCAGCGCGGGCTTGCGATGCGCTGCCTCTGCACGTGCAATGGCTTGCTGCCATGTCTGTCGGAGGGTGGTCGCGCGTTCGTCGAGGTCGCAGCCTCCTTCTACTCTCGCGTGCCAGGTCGCAGTCGCGCCCCGTCCGTTGCCCGCGCTGGTGTCGCGGTGCTCTGTGGCGCCGTCAAGATTTGTTCTGGCAGCGCCCATGGTCGTCGCATGTTCACTCTGTCTTCCACCCCCCACTGCCCCAGATGCGAGAGCTGCCTGGCTTTATGCGCCGTCGGACCGGCGCCGTGGCAACTGACAATTTGCGGCGTGGCCCGCGGATGGCCCATCGCCGTGGATGCCATGGCAATGGCCCCCCCCAACAATCCCACCATTGAATTAAACATTTTTTGAAACGCATTAAGAATAATGTTAACGCGAGCAAAACCGATTCCACGTTTCAAACATGTTCAAAATTTAGACATCTGGGATGATATGCGACACGCTTCCTCTCCATTGGTCGCCCCCCGCAAGTCCATCGCCGCTTCGAAACCGCGGGCGGGATCCCACGGCGCCCCCGCGGGCGCCGGCTGCGTCGCCACTCGTAGCCAAGTTGGCAGTCTCGCAAGCGTCGGTTGTGAACGGTGCGATCTGATGCGGCTCGCCGGCGTCGCTGCTTGTCCGCGTCGCCCTTCGCTCGCTCGAGTTGCTGGCGCAGGGAGTCCCCCGCGTAGGTGGCAAGGATGGGCCTCCAATGAGTCACTGCAGCGCCGTTGGTTCCCTGCGTCATGTCCTCCATCGCGGCTGCGTCGCCGCCTCTGATCTCCGTCGGGAACGGGAAGTCGACGTCAACGCGGGGGATCTCGGTCGGAGGGTTCGGCTGCCATGGCGGCGTGGGCTCTGTAGACCATGCTATCGGTGGCTCGTTGTGGCGCCGATGCGCTGCAGGCGGCCAGGCGGGGCTCTCGGCGATCTGGTCGGCGTCGAAAGGTGAGATTCGGTGATTCAGGTGGCGATGCAAGCACTCCGGATATGCCAGTTCCCCCAGGCCATCTGGTCGCTCTGGCTCCGGGTAGGCCGCGGCCCCTCATTGTCCAGCTGGCGGGGCGCGAGGGGCCGCGCCAGCGGGGGCACCGCCGCGGCTCCTCGTCGTCGGCCAGGATGCCCGCGTCGAGGGCCTGCCCGGTGACGTCGACCGCCCCCGCGTCGTTGAGGCACTCTTGCGCTGCCGCCGCGTCGCGGCGAGCTTGGCGGTGCTCTCCGCTTGCCTCCTCTGCGCGCTCCTCGTGGATTTCCGCCGCGTTCCTCCGCTCTTTCTCCTTCTGGTGGTAGGTGCGCGTCTCGTGCTGGAAGACATTCGGTTGCTTTGCTCTGCTGTGCCCATGTCTGCTCTCTGCGTCGCAAGCTGCACCTTGCCCCCCCCCCCCCCCCCCCCCCCCGACCTTTGAAAGGCGCAGTGCGCTTGCTGCTCGCGTGCGCCCACAAAGGTCAGCACGATCTGCAGGTGGCCCTCTTTTTGCTGCGCCAGTTCTGCATCCCCTCTGCTCGCCTGGCGCTCGACGCCGTAGAACATATGTCGGCATTCCTCACGCACGCCAGCGCCGTTGCTTCTATGCGTCTCTGTTGTGATCGCGGCACCTCATGTGCCTTCTGTCGTCTGCGTTCCTCCTCAGCCCGCTCGCCGTGGATCGCCATTTTGTTGTACTTATTGGTTTTGCTATAGGCTGCATCCCTTGACGATTCGAATAATTATTGCTCCATGGGGGCGCGGTCCTTGCTGTCGTGGATGAGTCGTTCCCGTGCCTCAATGAAGTCCCCCTGCTGCTGAACTGTCAGCACTCGGGCGTGCCAGCTCCTGGACACAACGCCGACAGCCTGAAAACCCCCCTCTGTCCCCACGAGGGATGTTATGCTTCTTTCTGTTGTAGACATGCATGGTGAACAACCACATTTGCGGGGATGGACTTGGAAATGTGCGTCGCATGCATGGGTTCCGCGTAGTAATGCTGTGATTTTGGTGCTTCACTGAGCCGATTGTCGATGCTTTGTCGTTCGGTAGTTTCCCCCGTCCTTGCTTGTTTTCGCGGTGTTGGTGTGGGCGTCAGCCTTAGCGGTGTGTCCTTGTTGTAGCGTATCCGCCTTATCGGCGGCAGCTCCTGTTCCGCCGTAGTTGCCCAACGTTGTTGTCCAGCTCCGTCATGTCTGTACGTATATGGTTATGGTGGGTTGTGCTGGGAATCCTGAATGGCCTTTTTGGTGTCGTCTATTTCCGTTGCCTGTTGGGAAAAAAGGCCGACGGTTGACAATCATGGCCTGCTTGACAGAAAAACGGTCTGCGTGACTGCACGGTCGCGGGCAAGCCTGCTGCACGGTTATATCCTCTTGGGTCATGTCGTGACATCTTAGATCTTTTTCATCGAGATCCGTAGCGGTGTATACGGTGTATCCTTGAAGCGTTGATCTTTTTCATCGGCACGATGGTGTTGATAGTGCTGAGGGCGTGGTCGTTGTAGTCCTGGTTCGTGCCATTATTTGGGCTGTCTTTCTCGCTCGGGTTTGGAACTTGTCCATGCACTTGCCCTTGTCGTTTGTGTTCGTCCACGTCTGGTGTTGGCAGTCGGTTCCGTACTCGTTCTTGGTGGCGTTTCCCTTGCCGCTGTGGCTGGCGCCCTTGCCGCTGCGGGTTTGGTTCCAGTGCGTGTCGGGGTGGTCCTAGGCCAACTGGTGTATTTGTCCTCCTCCTCGTCCATTTGTTCCTCTTGTAATTTTCCTTTACCCTGCCTCGTCTCCTCCCCTCCTGCCTCCTCTCTGCGGCCTCCTCCCTCGCGGGTGCGGTTCGTTTGGCACGCGCGTTGCGCGCGCGCCAGGCTCAAACCAGGCTTCCAGTCAGGGGCTGGGTCGGGATGGTTCGGAGGTCGGGGCGCAGACCCTCCTAAGACGGCCTCCCAGGGAGGGGAGGAAAAAGAGGGGGAGGAGGAGGAGGAAGAGGAGGAGGAGGAGGAGGAGAAGGAGGAGGAGGAGGCGGAGGGGGAGGAGGGGGAGGGGGAGTGGGAGGGGGAGGGGGAGGAGGAGGAGAAGGAGGAGGAGGAGGCGGAGGAGGAGGAGGATGAGGAGGAGGAGGAGGAGGAGGACGAGGAGGAGGAGGAGGAGGATCGGGTCTCGTCGCCCGCCTCCTCTTCCCGTCCTCGTCCACCTCCCCCGCTCCTGTTCCTGCTCCCTCCTCGGGCGGGTGGCACTGGGAGGGGACCTGCATGGGGCTTGAGGAGAGGGCCTCTAAGGAGCCCCTTGTAAGGCCCCCGCTGGCTCCCAAAGGGGCCCTACAAAACTCTGTTTAACACCTTGATTTCCCCTGAACCCCTAAACCTCAAAACCCCTAAACCCCTGAACCCCTAACCCCCCCCCAATTTGTATGCCACCCCCCCGCCCGGCTTCTTCAATTCCGTCCTTGTCGGCGTCGCTGTTGTCCCCAACGCCGTCCCCGTCCAAGTCGGACCTCTTGCCGCGGACGGGCAGGGGAATACGCACACGGCGCAAGGGCGGGGCGTAGAGGGGGTCGCCACCCGAGGAACAGGCATCGGCACTAACATACATTTTCAGAGGTCCGCGCGTTTTGGGGGAGAAGGCCAATGGCGTTGGCTCTCGCCTCGCGCGGAAGGTGGACACCTGCAGTGTACCTCGGGACGTCGAGGAGCGCTCCCTCTGAGCAGCCGTAGGCCTTCGCCTAGAGACTGGCCTGCTCAGCCTCTGGAGAATGGAAAAGGGAGGAAGGGGCAGAAAGGAGGAGGATCGAGAGTCGAGGATCGCAGTCCGTGAATCGTCATTGGCTCCGCGGGGCCCCCAAAGGCCTCCCTCCAGGGGAGCTCCAGAGGCCTCCAGAGGACGGGAGGGGAACGGGCGGAGGGAAGGGCGGAAGGGCAAGTGCCAGCACGACGGGAGGGTTTGAGGAGGGGGGGCAGGCGGGGGAGGGAGGCCTGCCAGAAAAAGACGGAAAGGGCATCTCTCTCTCGCTGGGCGAAGCAAGCGCGCGAACCCTACTGCGCCTTCTCGTCGCCCCCGCCTTCTTCCCCCCCTCGCCTCGTCCGTTCTTTCGTCCCCGTCGTCTCCCTCGACAGCTACTCAACAATTGCAGCTGATGAGCACTCCTCTGCTCTCTCCCATGACCCTGTCAATCAGATCTCCTGCACTCTCCGCGTTGCATTGTTTGCTTGTTGGCACATACATGATTTCAAACAGTTCATTTCCCCGTGCGTGTGTACAGTGGGATTGTTTTCGGCGTTCCCGCTGCAGCGTGGGCCTCATTTTCGGATCGGCGGTGTGCTCCCGTAGTTCAGGATGGCGCTCTCGCACCAACGCGGGGCCAGATTTCTGGATCCGCACCAATTTTCATCGTTGTCGCCGCCCTCATTTCCCCTCCTCCGCCTTCCCCTGGTCCTCCTGCTCCTCCCACTCCTTCCGCTCTGGGGCCACGAAGTGCTGCAACGGTGCCACGAAGGGCAGCGAGGGGGCCACGAAAGGGTGCAACGGTGCCGCGAAGGGCAGCGAGGGGACCACGAAGGGGCGCAACGGGGCCACGAAGGGCAGCGAGGGGGCCACGAAAAGGTGCATCGGGGCAACGAAGGGCAGCGAGGGGGGCCACGAAGTGCTGCAACGGGGCCACGAAGGTGAGCAGGAGGAAGCGGCTCCAGCTCCTCCACATATGTACGGCAGGCTCGCGTCGCGTTGGTGCCTGACACCGCGGGGATCGTTCAAAGTTGAACGATTGGCCGTTCCATGAACGCCAGATCGTTCAGCTACGGGCCGATTCTGGGCCACGGACGGCGTTCGACCTTAAACGCACGCGCTGGGGTCGCCGCCGGTCGACGCGACGCGAACCTGCCGCACGAGGCTCCCCGTTGCCCGACCGCGCAGCACGCGATGCGGTCTCCAGTGTGGTTCCGGATCGGCCACGACACGCCTCCGCGGATGGAGCCGGGGCGGGGCCCGGTCCCCCTCAGCGTATGGTGTGTTACACGTAATGTCAAGTATTGGAACCGATGTATCCCATGTTTCCATGTTATTTAGATGGTTAATATTGCGCCTGTATGTTTATTGATAAGATTGCTGTTATGATGCCACGCTCTTGTTATTACTAGTTTCTTGCTTTCCATCGACTCGTCTTTCAAAACCTGGCTGGCGCTGCAGTTCAGGCCTCATGTCAGGGTCGGCGCCACTGCTCACACGTCTCAGGATCGTACTCCCGCCCCAGCGCGGGCCACCTCCCAAGATCCGAGTCCTCTCTCATCGCTGTCGCCCCCTCGTTTCCCCTCATCCGCAGCCTACGGCGAGCCGGGAGCCTCCGAACAGGCCGACCCTCACCGAAGACAAGAGTCGAAGTTAGGCGCACGCGCTCGAGGCCCTCCCCTCTGCCTTGCCCCGCCGCCTTCCACTGGTCCTCCTGCTCCTCCCACTCCTTCCATCCAGCTCCTGCTGCTGCTGTTCGTCAGGGCCCTCCTCCCTCCTTCTCCTTCGTTTTTCTCCTGGTCATCCGCCACCGCCTCCTCCGCCGCCTCCTACTCCAAAGTACGCAGCTTTCCTTTGCCCATTGCCCATAAAACGACAGGGCATTTTTGTTGATCCCCAGGTCGGCCATGACACGCGTCCGCGGATATACAGAAAAATTAAACGCAGTGGGAAGGGATGTGGGTGGGAGGAGCAGGATGTCAGATATATGGCGCGAGCGCACCTAGCTTGTCCTCGCTCCCTCTCTTCTCTGCTCTGCCACAGCCCCCCCCCGCACCTCTTCAACCCTTCCTTGTTCGTCTTGAGGCCTCCCTCGCTCACCCCCTCTCCTCCGCGGCCAGGTGTGCCGTGTGCCGTGTGCGCCTCCGAGAAAAGCAGCGCGGTGTGGGTGCGTGGATGGCGCTGCGCGCGTCGCACCGTCTGCCTCCGGCACGACCTCGAGCACTGGGCCTGACGCAGACGATGGGGATCCCGACGGGTGGGCGAACTCTCCCACAGCGTCTTGAGATTTTCATCGCCGCGAAGCTGGGCAAGTTGGCCCCGGCGCGGAGGGGAGGGCTCTCGTGGGCACCGGCGGGCACGGGTGCCCCCCCCCGCGCAACCAGCAAAGAGGCAGGGCCAGGTCAACCACTGTCCGAACAGCCAGGGTTATTGACGTTAGTCGCAGCGAAGCTGAGCAAGTTGGCCAGGAACCGAACACCGACGAGTTGGCGTCACCGCTCTTCCTCATCCTCCACCGTCTTCTGTTCTTCTCCACCTCCTCCTCTTGCGTGCTGAGGAACTGATGATATCAACTCGAAGCGACCGCGTAGGAACCGTGCGAGAGAATGGTCATGAGTGCGTTTCTAGGGGCTGGGCCAGGGAAGCCTGGACCCCTCGATCCGTGGGCACCGTCCACTGGCCCCTGGACCACTCTTGCATGAATCCCATCTGTGACCCCCCTTGACTCCGTGTACGAAATCATTGACCCCAACATCGGTGCTCCATTGATCTCTGAATACCTGTTCCGTCTACTCTTGACGGACGCCTTTGTGAGCGATCCCATGGATGATCAATTTTCCCTGCTACATGGACCACGAAATCAATTTTTATGGTTCCTTTGAACCCTGAATGCGTCCTCAATGGACAATGGACCCCTGTATTCCTGACAACCGCTTTCGCAAACCCTCATACCCAATCGCACAATCTTTGACAGAAGCACGAGCCCCGCTGCCATGCAACATCTGTCAATCGCGGGCCATTCCGAAGCGTCGTTCGGGAAAGCGTCCTTGTTGTCTGGCACGCGGTCGCCGTCCGTGTCCACGACGTGCGTGGTCGAGGCCTCGCAGCGTTCAAGCACGATCTGGCAAGCAAGCTGACGCGGAAAACGCTTTCAGCACGATCAGGCTGCAGCCCCGAACGAGATGCAAGCAGTGGCACCCGCACGCACGAACCACATCAAGATCACCCGACTTCGGGTGCCGCTGCCACAGCGCGCGGATACCATTGCGCTCTCGCGAGGCCACCCTGGAGAAGGGTACTGTTATGGCCCGGTCCCCGAAACGCTATGTATTCGTGCATGTGCGGGGGTGGGACCTGGACACGCGCACGCGTCCAGCGATCGCAACACCGTCGGGCAACCACGACACGCGCGTGCAAACAAATGTGGGCGTGAGGGCACGCGCGCGCGCACACCACCACACGGTCTTGTGGCGCAAATGATGGACGAGAGGAGGAAAAAGCGCCCCTCGAACTGCCACGAAGCGACCCTGCTCGGCTTGGGGAGCCAGATATGTGACCCGTTCCGAACCAGTGCCTCTCTTCTTCTCTCTCTATCATATCGGGGGCGCGCAAACATGGATTAGCGATCCATGGATTTGGCGCGCGGTCGCCAAATCCATGGATCGGGGGAGGCACCCTCCCCAAAATGCGGCCGGTGCCGCCTCGTTCGGCGGCGACACTCCGCGGTTTCCCATGGAAACGGGACCCGTCGCTAATCCACGCCCCCTTAATCCATGGTCGTGATCGCCTCTCTATCGTGGCTCAAACTCGGAGGCACTGACGGCGGCCCAAAGCGCCACCGTGCACAGCAACGCGCCGCAGCGCGCCACGGAGCTCGACGCCGGCTGGCGCCCCGTTCGGCAGCGCGCGCCGCGCAGAGCCGAGGGCGGGCACAGCGGTCGTGTGCACTCGCGACGCTGAAATCCCAGGAATGCAATCTTGGCACGACTGACAATTCACAAACAGTTGTCTTCCAATGAGGCACTGTCCGCAATGAGTATGCAGTCTTGCAGGGGCCCATGAGGGGAATCCTGGAGGGAGGGTCTCTTGCAACATCGTTGGTGCGTCTGGTATTTGCCCTGGTCCTCTTTTTCCTTCTCTTCCTCTTATCCCTCTTCATCTTCCCTCCCCCCCCGTGTCCTCCTCCTCCTTCTCCTCCTCCTCCACTCCTTTTCCATACGAATATTTCCTCCCTGGCGCACCCCCCGACGTGTCGATTGGGCGGGCTGGGCGTTTCTCCTGACATTTCCTCACCATGCATCATAATCAAGCTTAGACTTAGAAGCAAGTTCACGGATCGAGGGCGGTGCATATTCAAAATGTGGTTCTCGTATGAGCGCCGCACATATCGTCTGAAATGGTTGCAACAGTTGCAACGGTGGATGGCGGTTCATTTTCAAAATGTGTCTTTCGTCTTAGTACCGCGCACAGTCGTCTTGAATTTAGAAGCGTCTTCAGAGATGCTGGGTGATGATCGTGTTCAAAACGAAATGTTCGCTGAGACGCCGCGCGCGTTAGTCTTAAATTTGTGCAGCAGCTTCGGGCCTCTGAAAAAAAAGGGGATTTGGAAGGAAGGTCTATTGCAATATCGTTGTCGTACCTTGTGTTTGCATTGGTCCTCCTCCTCCTCGTGTTCCGCCTCCCCGCATCCTGTTCCTCCCCCCCACCCCACCCTATCAATCTCCTCCTCTTTCACATATTTTTCGTTTGACATAACCTTCCCTGTCGCGACCCCAGACGCTTTGGTAGAGCGGGCTGGGCCTTTCGCCAACGTTTGCTCGCCAATTCTAATCTGAACTGGAAGCTCGGAATGTGATGCAGTCTCGCGGATGGAGGGCGGTTTGTTCCAAAAATGTGGCCCTCGATCCTCAGGCCTGCCAGTGGGCGCCTTCAGATCGATATGTTGGAGCAGATTCAGCCGCGGCGATGGCAGAACAACGCCCACGACGCCCCCAAGAAGGGCCACGCAACAACAGAACAGCCCCGATCTTTCTTCGATCCCCCCCACCCACTTCCATCCTCGATCCTCGGCCTCGATCCTCGACTTCCCTCCGCCCCTTGCCCCGTGCAATCTGCGGGCGGCTGCGCCTGCCACCCCCCCCCGCCCTCGCCGCTCTCGCTGGAGGGGGGGGCCGCCCCAGGCGGCAGGGCCTCCTTCCCGTGGGCCGTCGAGCACCCGACCTTCTTCTTCCAGCAGCACCAGGCCTGCGGGAGGGGCGCTGGCGAGGACCAGGGTGAGTAGGACGAGGAAGGGGAGGATGCGGAGTGTGAAACCGAGGCTGAAGATGGTGAGGCTGCTGCCGATGCTGCTGTTGATGATGAAGGAATGGGAGGGGAACAGGAAAAGGAGGAGGAGGAGGAGGAGGGGGAGGAGGAAAAAGAGAAGGAACACGGAGAGGAGGATAAGGAGGCGAAAGGGAAGGAGGGTGACTCTTGGGATGCGTTTGGCATTTTGGCGTCACCATGAAACCTCCGAGGTCTCCTAAGGGACCTTGGCTTTGGGGGTCGAGCGGCCCCTGAAACAAACAATATCCCGGCAAAGCAACCTAACAACGATATGTAGAAGTATATATGAAAGCATTCCCCTTAAGATTCAAATGAAAATCCAGTTGTAGAATTCTGCTGTTCTCGCACTCGTAGTCGCATTCGCGATGACAGTCGCAGCGGCAACGGCAGTCGCAGTCACAGCCTCAGCCTCGGCCTGCCTCAGCCTCAGCCTGCCTCAGCCTCAGCCTGCCTCAGCCTCAGCCTCAGCCTGCTTCAGCCTCAGCCTCAGTCTGCCTTCAGCCTCGGCCTCAGCCTCAGCCTGCCTCAGCCTCAGCCTGCATCAGCCTCAGCCTCAGCCTCAGCCTGCCTCAGCATCAGCCTGCTTCAGCCTCAGCCTCAGCCTGCCTCAGCCTCAGCCTCAGTCTGCTTCAGCCTCAGCCTCAGTCTGCCTTCAGCCTCGGCCTCAGCCTCAGCCTGCCTCAGCCTCAGCCTGCCTCGGCCGCAGCATCAGCCTGCCTCAGCATTCAAAATGTGGCCCAGGAATGGAGTTCTGGGAACTAGAAGAACACGAAGTGGCCTACAGTTGGCTCCGGGCATTCAAAATCATGCCCAGGAATGGAATTCTGGGAACTTGAACCTTGAGCATCCAGTACACCAATATATTGCAAACACCAATATATTAGGATTCTCACTCGCCCTGCTGGCCCCGCGCGCAGCGTTGATGGCCCTCCCCCGCTTCTTGGGCGAGCGCCCCCTAGCGATAGGGGATGGCCTTTGCAACGTCAGTGCGGGGAGCGCGCAACTTTCGCGCCAGGACCCCCCCCCTCAGGCAGCGCAGGGGGGGTGGGGCGTTGGGGCAGGGGTCGGTGGAGGCAGAACTGGGTTGGCCATGTGGTTTTCCCTGTGACCTCGGGCAGCTTGATCTTACACTGGAAGCAGCGCTCCGCGTCCTGCCACCCTGGCAGCTTCAGCACCTCCTTGAACATCTTCCAGTCGCCTTTGATATGGCAAACAACGCCCCTGAGAGGGAGTCGCCCTCTCTCGCTATGCTGCGTGGCCCTCCACGTGTCGCTCTTCCCGAATGGCGATCCATCGCGTATGCACGATGGCCACGTTTTGGTTGCGAGGTGCGCGAATGACCAGCGGACAATTTCAAAAATGTCATCCAGGGTGTTTGGGGACAACTGGTTCTTCAGCAAGCATGCGATGGGCACGCGGGGGTTCTTGTAGCGCTCCTCTAAGCCAGGCAACAGGGGCGAAACAATTTCAGCGGTCACGCTGCGGTCCCAGTTACAAGGCACACCGTCTTGCCAGATGCCGCATGGGACCGTGTCGGAGTCGCCGAGGGACGACACTGCACTGTTGAAATGCTCCAGTGAAGCGGGATCTAACCCAGACGCGCCAGTCATAACATCTGCGTGGCCGAAGAACGCCAAACAATCCAAAATCTCATGGATAAATGCATTTTCTGAAGCTCCTCCACCTGCCTTTTAGTGTTCCACGCCCGCGCGTCGCGCACGCACAGGGGTGGCCAGCCGCTCTTTCTGAAAATTTGGCGAAGGAAACGTGGAGCATTGCCCGGGTATTTTTCTGATGGTACTAAATCAGCAACGCCCGCGGCACCAGAGCGGTGGATGTCGTTTGCCAATTGGAGCCCCCTGGCGCCCGACACGATGTTGCGCGACAAGAGGTCAGCGACATTCGCCCTCAGGCGTTTGTCTGCTGGCAGCGCGCGCCTGTCATAAGGCAACGCGCGTTTGGACAGCATGCTGCGGCGACCTCTCTCGAGCCAAAAGCTACGGACGTCCCTTGAGCCAGAAGCTACGGACGTATCTTGCGCACTGGCGCGCCCTGCAACAGGGCCACCCCTGCAGAAAAGGGGCGACGAGAAGATGCGAAGGTCCCCCTCGAGAAGGGGTCGCGCTGGATACCGGGCGAGGCGGCGAAAGGGGAGTGGAACAGCAGAGGGAGAACAAGAAAGAACGAAAGAGAGAGATATATATATAGAGAGAGAGAGAGAGAGAGAGAGAGAGAGAGAGAGAAAGAGAGAGAGAGAGAGATGGAGAGAGAACAGACGAACGCGAGTGAGAGCGAGAAGCAACGAACGGACAGACAGACAGACAGACAGACAGGAAACAGACAGACAGACAGACAGAGATAGGCAGAGACAGACAGGGGCAGGCAGACAGAGAGCCCCTATCAAGGTTTGCGCGCATTTTTTCTTGTTGGAGAGTCGCCTTGCGCCTCCATTTCTAGCGTCTGCGCGCCGAGGGGATGATATGGATGCAACTCAGAGAGCTACGAATATGATATGGAAACGCCGCTCACTCCACGTAGCGCGAGAACCTCTTGACCGCCAGTTTGATGCCGCCCAGGCGGTGCTCTGCGGTGGACTTCATGGCTACGAGATCCTTGTTCAGATTGGCATAATCCTCCTTCTTCTCGTTCGTCTCGCGAGTGATTCCCGTCTTCTCGATCAGGAGCTCCACCGCCTCCTAGTGATCAGTCGCGCTCTTGAGGGTCTTGTCAGCCTCCTTTGCCCAGGTGTCATATTGACCTTTCTCACTGTCCTTGGCAGTCTTGGCGTGATTGTGGAACTTCGCGCGGGGCGTCTTCAGCTTCTTCATCTCAGCCTGGTACTTCGACAGGGCAGACCTAAGCGCAAGAAGAGGGAGGGGGGGGAGCGTTTGTGAGGGGAGTGAGCAGGAAGACGAGGGAGAGGAGATATTGCTGAGGCGATGGCGTGATCGAACCCTTGTTCGCCTGGATGTTCGGCCACAGCGGGTTCTCCAGCTTCACTGGGTTCGCGCTCGCACTGCTGCTGCCACTGCGCAGCTCTCCATCCTGCCTGCTGCCCATTCCAGCGCTTTTGCCGACTTGGCGTTGCCCTCGCCCGTGAACTTTTTCTTGTCAGACGTCTCCAAGCTGTCCTCAGACATCTGTGGGAAAATGAAATAGAACTCGTGCCACAATATGCGGTCCTTCTTGTCGTACTTCACTGGGAACGCCTCCTTCGCATTGTACGTCTGTGAACTATCCTCCGACCACTCCTGGACGAACTCGAGAGCCAGCTTATGATCCTTAGAATCTGACAATGAAAGGCTCTGTTCTTTCAAAGCTTGCGGAACTGTGACGTACCCCTTCTTGGCCCATTCCTTATGTGTTTCTGCATTTTCGCATTCTTCGTGAAACGCATGCACCCAGTCCAAGATCTTGCTCTTATCCTCCTGGAAGCTCTCCAAGAACATCTTGCGCTCTGAAGGGTTCTTGCAACTCGGCCAGACTGCCTGCGCCCTCGCCGCCTTCTTCTGCACATCTGCATCAGTGCCCGAGGAATTGCACATGAGCCAGTTGCGCATCTTTGTGGCCTCCTTCGGGTCGACCCCCTCCCCCTTAGAAGCCTTGCATCTCTTAGGAGCGGGGCCAGAGTCGTCGCCTTTCTTCGCCCCGCACACCATCGACGAAAAAAAGAATCATCATCGGCGCGGCATACGCGAAGCAAGAAACCGCGGCGGGAGGAGGCATGATGTCGAACCGTACAAGGATCAGACACTCGCAAATGTAAAGATGACAATCAGCGCGCCGAAAACAAGCGGACCTTGAGCCGAAAAGCACTTACGGGATGCATGCTGCCCCCTCCCCCCTTTGGCCCTACCTGCCTCCTTCCTCGTCGGTCCTTCCGTGCCGCAGCGCCCTGATCTACAGAAATCCGCCATGCTCATCCTGCCCCCCAGAAAGCCCCTACAGTTGGGGCACGAACCAAGAGGACAATGAGATCTAGGCTAGATACCCCTATCAAGGGGTGATCGCGGACTGCGAGCGAATGGTAAGCATTTGCACTACCGCTATTAAGCTGATCAGAGAGTAGGGCCAGAAGCCCCGCGGTCAAACCACCAGTCTTTGTTCGGGAGTGTTGGTTTCATCAGGCAACGCAAAGTGAGCAAATCTGCCGCTAGACAGTGGACAATCTCTTTTCTGAAATTATATTAAATAGAGTTTCTATTTAATAGAATGTGGGTTCTGCTTGATACTTCCTTCAATTCTATGAAATAGAAGTTCTATTTAATAAAATCGGGCGCGTCTTCTGTGGCCCGGCTGAGCGGGCTTCCAGTCGCAGCCAGCGCGCAACGACTGTCGTAGATATGGATGTGAAACCCACCGCGGGCCTCAGGCCTCCTTCCCGCCGCGCACGAGGAAGTCGCCCTCTGGGAGGGGGGGTGGGGGGGAGGGCGCGCAAGTGTAATGTGTGGGAGGGGGGCAGATCCACTACAGAAGTGGTGACGGCTCTCAAGGAAAAACATCGCGGTCCTAGTTCCCCTTGCGGCCGCCCTGCTTGCCGTCCTTCTTGCCCCCGCCCTTCTTCGCCTGGGCGCCCTCGTCTTTCTTCCGCTTCTCCTCCGCGTCGTTCTTCCGCTGGTCCTCCTCGCGTTTCTTCCGTTCCTCCTCCGCCTTCCGATCGGAATCCTCTTTCTGCTTCCTCTCGGCTTCTGCCCTCGCGTCGTCCTCTTCCTTCTTCTTCCTCTCATCCGCTGCTGTGCGGGCCTGCTCTGCTTGCGCCAGTCTCCGCTCCCCTGCAGCCTTCCTGTCGTTCTCCGCTTCCTGCCGCCTCTCTGCGCCAGCCCTCGCCTGCTCCGCAGCCGCCGTGGCCATAGAAGCCGCCGTCGCCACCTCCAGCGGACTCGCAGTGCTTGCGCAACTGCCCCCGCCCCCCCCCCGCGCCTGGCGCCAGCTCTCTTTTTCTCTCGTTCTCGCTCGCGGCGCCTGTCCTCTTCCTGCTTGCGTTTCCGATGTGATTCGGTTGCGCTCCTGGGTTCCTCCTCTTGCAGCCTCATCGCCGCAGCCCCCTCTTCTTCCTGTTGCCTCTGTGTTTCAAGATCCTCCGCCTCTTTTCGCTTCTGCTCGATTCGTTGGAAAGCTTCGGCTGCTCTGCTAGCGACACCCACCTCTGCTTGTTCCAAGATGCGCAGGACTTGCCCCGTCATCTCTGCGTTCCTCTTCCTCTCGTCGGCCTTCGCTTGAATCTCCCTTTCTTCCGCCTGCCTGGCTGCTTCCTTCCTCTCTTCCTCTTGTCGCCGAAGAGCTGCTTCCTCGCGTCGTCGGGCTGCTCCCTGGTCCCTCCGCGACTGCTCCTGCAGAGCCCTCCTTTCCATCCCCTCGCGCGAAGCCGTTCTCTCGCGCCCCCTCCTCCTCAGCCTCTTCAGGATTGCGCGCCCTCTCTTGTTGAGATCCTCCGTCTCAGCGCCGCTAGCGTCGCCTGCGTCCGCCTCTGGGCTGAGCGGGGCCCCCTCGCAGGTCTCGGCCTGCATTCCTGCCTCCTGTGTCGCAGGCTGCGTCGCTGGATGCGCGCCTGCAGCTCCTGCTTCCGCGCCCCCTCCCCCCGCTTCCTCGCCCCCCCCTGCCCCCTCGGCCAAGCCCTGGGGAGCGCGGACAATATGCCCCTAGCTGAGGGGTCGTTAATACAAGTGGGGATGTTTGCGCACCTAGCCAAGGGGGGTCTTATCGTAAGGCTGTTTCGGCGTCCCCTAGCGCAAGGGTGCTTCATTTCCTGATCCCCATCGCGTCCTCGGTGGCGTTCACGAGAGCTTGCCCGTTCCTGCCCATCCTCTGCTGCTGCCACCCGGGAGGGGGAAAAGGGGGGGGGGGAGCAGGGGGAGGAGACGGTGGAGGAGGAAGAGGGGGGGAGGGGAGGAGGAGGAGGATGCGGAGGAGGAGGAAGAGAAAGGAGGGGAAATGAGGAGGAGGAGGGAGGAGGGGCGGAGGAGGAGGAGAAAAAGGAAACGGATGTCAAGAGGGAGAAGGGGGGAGGGGGGGGGGGGGGGGAGGGGGGGGGGATGAGAGAGGAAGGAGAAGAGAAGGGGGAGGAGGAGAGGAGGAGAAGGAAGGAGAGGAGAGGAGGAAGAGGGGGGAGAGGAGGGGGGGGGGGGAGAGGAGGAGGAATAACCCTGCAAGAACAGAAACTCGGATTGAAAAACTGCGAGAAGTTTGTCATACCAAACTCTGGTGACAAGAAAGGTTTGTCATGTCAAACTTAAGTTTCCAGTGGGCGCGCAGCGTGATGGGTTCCCATGGGGGCCACCTGGCGCGCTCGGCCTCCGACTTGCGGCCGCGATAGCGGCGACCCCCCGTGGAGATGAAGCCCCGCTCCGTCCACCAGCGGCTGGCGCGGTCCTCCTGGCAGGAACGCGACGCGCACGTGAAGACCCACGTGCGCCTGCTGCACTTATTGCACAGCTGGATCTTGTCCGTGCGCAAGAACGGCCTTGTTGGAGCCCTCGTGCACCGCTTCTCCCTGAGATCCCTCAACATCTCAGCCTCATCCCCCCCCTCCTCGTCTGAGACGGCGGTCGCGCCGTCCAAGGGGGGGAAAGGGGGAAAAGACGAAACAATCCTCTATTCAAAAGGCGTCCCCTAGCAAGGGGTAAACTTTTGCAACCGACCCGGCGTCCTTCGCGTCGTCGAGATGACGCTTCCGCGGAGGATCGCCCCACTGGTCGCCGCCGCTGCCCCCCGGAGCAGATCCGCTGGCAGCGATCATCGCCTGGGGGGGGGGGGGGGGGGGGGGGGGGGGGGGGGGGGGGGGGGGGGGGGGGGGGGCAGGGCTGGCGCGCGCCCTCGCTCTTCTCTGGCTCAACCCAAGGAGTTCCTGGAGGGAGAAGGTTTCTCTTAGAAAACTTTGGTTTCTGAGTTCCCTGATCCCCATCTCGCCCCTGACATCCGAACCTCCTGATTTGTTTCCAAGACTCGCGGCCCCCGCCCCCTGCGAAGCGA